GTATGTCATATTCGACCCCTTCCACAGTACTCATCTTTTCATTTCTCTGCCTTTGTGTCCATCTCTTTTACATCTGTGAATCATTACTGTGTTCCCCCCCCCTCCCTCTCGACTTTTTGTCACCTTGATGTTCCTCCTCCTCCTCTCTGTGAAGCCCGAAGTCATTGATGATAACTATCAAAACGCCTCCCTTTTAGTATAAATATTGATGTTCCTCCTCTCTGTGAAGCCCGAAGTCAGCTAAAGGGCTAACAACCGTCAAAACACCTGCCATTTGAACTGTGTATAAATTGGATATTCGCAGAAAAAAACATACTATCCACATTTAAAGAATTTTACTATTTGTACGAGACTGTATCGAGTCGTAAACTTGATAAAATCGCCAATGGATACAAACCTAAATGAATTAATATTTTCATATTAGGTGCAATATATCCACAGCTGTTCTTAAACCAGAAGAGAGCATAACTGTAGCATCTGCAGCAAAGCTTTATAGAAAACGGTCTCGAAACAAAAAATGTACTTCTGTCTTATCATGAACTGGATCAAAGTCAAGTTACCTCGAGGGGAATGTGCATAGGAACTTGGGTTATGTTTTTTTCAGCATCTTAGTAAATCTTGCAGAAAATGAGTGCAACTACTGCGACCTGAATTTTTTCGCTACATTGAGTGTTTGATAGTCGTGGTAATTAGTTGGTGAATATTTGGAGGGACCTGCGCTAACTCATACTCTGGAACCATCCAATGTACATACTTTACTAGGTGCAGATCTAGTTATTTGACCTTGATCAATGTCTTTATATCCCTATAATGTATTTCTTCCCAAGACATACACTTCATATTCCTGCTTACATTCTACCTCAAACTCAACTAGTGTAATTCCGAATCTCTTAGAAGCAAACCTATCTTCTCATCTCCTAATTGTGGCAAAATCTCAATGAGTCAGAAAAGTGACAATTTAACTAGATTCTCCAAAAACTAAGGCGAACGACACGTCTAATTTACAAACTTCCATTTTTGGCATATTTCACCTTCTCAACAGCATTGCGCCTATATCTTATGTGGAAATAATACGATGGGAAAAATAGAAGAGAAGACAATGAAAAAGACTCCACGTCGCCGGTAAGTTAATTGATATAGTGTTGCAAGCAAAACATTAGGCTTCGCTTCGTACTAACACAATTCTAAAATTTAAACAAAGAATTTACTCCGGACAGAATCCTAAAAGAGAGCATTCCCAATATAATCCAAAACCGGAATGCATATTTAATCCCACTTTCCCTAGGCTCAACTAATCCCCCCCCCCACGCACCCATTTAGATATAACGAAAATTAGACAAAACTAAATCACGCGTACCGTCGTGATTAATGCAAGCCACAACAACTACACCGTCACCACATTTATTATTGAAGACGGTGGAAACAGCAGCAGCAGCAACAACAACAGGAATACAGAGTAGATTCAAACTCCACTTACAATTCTATATTTTTTGAGAATTGGATTACGGTGGAAGGAAGAGGGTGACTTGAAGAAAGAAGAGCACACTAGAGTGAATTTTAAAATGCATGAAATTAAATCTTAGTTCCAAGAAGGAATAAAAAGGAGAATATCCTCACCTTCTTCACCCAATTCGCGCTTTTGTTTGGAGTTCTTAACAGTCCATATTATCAGATAAATTATTATTATTATCATTATTTCAAATGGAAGGTTTTATGATATTTATCATTAGCCCTTATCAGATAAATAAAGAGATAAGAAATCAGTAAATGCATGCAAGTATAGTGGTTCCAGTTTTCGTTATACAATATTGCATAAGATCAAATTTCTCTTGATCAGCATTCTAATCGAGTCCTTACCACCATCCCCACCCTCGCCCCGTCCCCCCCCCCTTCCCTCAGAATATATAGATCAAGCAAATGCTCAAATAAAATAGGCTGACCACATCCAGTTACCTTTTGATCTACCCCCCCCCCCCCCCCCCTCCCTCTCTCAAAGAGCAATCTCCCCTTGGTACTAATTTAAACGAAAGGAATATTGTGTAAAGACACGCAAATAATAAAGTCTGCACTTTAGAAAGTTTAAGTTGAGGGGAAATAATATTGAGATATAGTTCCACGGCAAGCAGGCCCTCTCTTTATAAAAATGGGAAATGGTGAATAACGACTTGGCGAATTGAATTATGTTACTAATAGAGCAGATCTAGGGTTAGAACCAAGCAAGAGAGTATTAGAGGGAACAAAATAACAAAATTTGGAAGTGGAACCAGCCCCAAATTATACGTCAACAGTCAGTTTGGGAAAAAAAGAGTTCACTAGTTGATTAGAGTTGCGTGGCGAATAGGAGAGAAATGAGGTAAAGAAATGCATTAGAAATCAAGTCTTGATGCAACTATTAGTGTTATTGCAATCTACGTCAATAGCTCGTCCAATATCTGGATCAGAACGTCCACTAATAAAATATACCCGCCCAAATATACGTCCAGGAAGGTAAATCTCTCTCTCTCTCTCTTCTCTCCCAGGCCTAGATGGACGAATATATTAGTAATATTATTATTATTACCAATATTATCGGACAAGGCGTTACTTTCTTTCGCTCCCAGAAATTGCTAGTTACTTGGGTTCTAGCAATGCATATGCTTCACTACTAAGGCTTAATGATATGACACCAAAGTTCATGACTGGGGCTGCCCCTATGCTATGCAGAGGCTGTTGACGAATTTACTCAGCTCAACATTTGATCATCATTCTAACTCCATTTAGTAGAGTTCATTCGGCTTTGATTAAGGAAAGCATACACATGCATTCAATAAGAGGCAATTTCGCAATATAGGTGAGATAGAATTTCGGATAATTAAAAAAACAAACATAAGTAATTAGCGGACGCTTTGATGTGAGGGCCACGTCTTAATTTATTGTCAACTGGATGCAAGCAGTACAACCCTAGACTAAAGTGGGCATCATTTCACAACCCATAAATGATGACAAAATATGAGTAAATAACACGGCTATAGATCCAAAAAAATCATGTGCATCAAATGCAATAATACAAAGATCATATAAAACTAGTAATAAGGAACGATGCAGTGGATAGTTGTTGGATAGATTAAATTCTACCGAGCAATTGAATTAGGCTAAGCCCACTTCTTTTTTCTCGTTTTTTTTTTCACTTCTAATTACCTGACACTATATAATGCAATACCAAAACTGACGAAGAGATCCCAAGTGATCAAATCAAACCCAAAATTTTACTTTCCCACACTTAGTATCAAATTGGAGATTGAATGATAAGACCGAAAGCACATCTGTGTTTTAATTCTCTCCAACCAAAATCATTCTCATATCTTAAAGTACAAGTAATCATTAGTGTTCGCCTTAGATTGATGTAAATACTCCACACTATTACCCCTATGGCCTCCAACACCCTAAAAGCATGTGACGCCAATTCCTACTTCAGAGGAGGCCTTCTAGGACAAATCAACTACATTCGTCAGATAGTTGTACATTAATAGACAGCCAATTTTGGTCAATAAAGGAGTGCTAAAATTTAAATTTCATATCAGACCGGTCTCAGGAAACCTTCCCATTACCAAAGGTAAGTTCTTTTGAACGCTTTTCCTACTGGACTTAATAAACTTTTATAACAAAGCAGGCAAATAACTTACTGCCTCAGTGAAATATCGACCATTGCCCGCCAAGGGCACAGTGAGTTCAAAATGTGATACCAAATTTTCCGCGAACTCAGGGTAGCTCAACAGTAGAGTCGTGAACTCATCTCTCTCCACGTAGTGCAAATCACAATAGGTAAGAGCCCGAACAATGAATCTCGACTTGGCAACAATCCGGCCCCTTGAAGCCAGCCCATGTGGCAAAACACGACTTCCCGGATTTTTGAGCAATGGAGGATGATGCAGTGAAGGAAGGCCCCCAAAAAAGTCCCCCTTGGAAAGAACAGCCAGGATAGCACCGTCAAAGGGATCAAGTACCTCCAAACTACCCTGCTCCACAAAATAGAGAGTAGTAAGAAGACCACCTGGATGTATTATAGTGTCGCCTGGTGGAAGATGCACTGTACGAATTCGTAAAGCGAATGTTCGAAGGCAACCATCCGTAAGACCTACAAAAAGTTATAAATTGACTTAGCGTGTAGAATAGGCACTACTTCTGCTTACATTGGTCTTTACGTTATTGAATGTGCCCTCTAATCAGCCAAAATCTCACGTAAAGATAATCCACCACGTCAGTGGGATTGTACTCAACGTTTAGACTATCAGCTTAAAGTTGACTAGCCTCCGAGATAACCAAATTCTCATTATTGGACCACATGATAAACTTCCGCCGAGACTATTATTTGGGCATGATTGATACAGAAGACTTTGCCAAAGTTAAATTAAGTCACAATTGATTGCAAGCAACTCGAATGAAATTAAAGTTATTAATTTCTAATAGAGTCCGCTTGTGAAAGCAAACAATTCTCTAATTGCAGACAGGATCGGCGGCATAACCAGACGCTTTAAACTAGGTCATTTCTGAGTGTAAGCTTCATGTTGCTATTTCATAAAAATTATGAAACACGGAAATGAGAACATTCAAGTAAGCATAAACATCCATTTTAAAAAATCGATATCAATAGAACATGTGACTTTTGCCAGATCGCTTTCAAATAGCTTAAGTCATTAAGACCTTTGAGATAATGAGGTGCCAAGTGTAAATGAATTAATTTTAAGTTAAATATAACTCTATGAGAGTATTTTGAAACCAAGACTTACAATTCGTAATGCATTATATAATCATATGTTTATCAAGCCCAATTTAAGTCAGAAAATCAATATTTTAAGTGTTACATTTTTTCAAGTCTGATTAATATCGGCTTCGTCATTTTCACACCAATCAAAATAAAATTCCGACAGAAGCATGAGGAGCATTCAATTTAATATTAATAGAAAAGAAAAAATGTAAACGCTCCGTCTTTGGAAGGTCCTTTGGTGTTTATAGCTGTAGATCACTTGAAAATGATTAGCATGTTATAATTAAATAGTATTTTTAAGCCATCTATTACCTGATTGAAAGTCGGGGGCACATATCTAGAATTGCAAGAGTTACAAAAAATTGTGATCGAATCCCTGACATCCAAGAACCGAGATTCTAGACACAAAATGTCCTTTCGGTCGATATTTGCGTGATAAGGTGTCGATAACTACATCACGTGATTGAAACTTTTCAAAATTAACAAAGACGTTACTTAATTAATAACTGACGTCTCCGACTACACTTCGTGCATAGTAAGCAATTTTTCATGAAAGGCACCCCATCTCCATAGCCCAAAAATAGTAGTTGGCTATCTGGAAGTACCAAACATGTTTTAATCACAGAAATCACAGATGTAACACGAGAGGACTATTGGCACAGATGGTCCATATGGTGGAATTGGGAGTCCCTAATTAATTTGACTTAACACCCACATGAACACACAAACAGAGGAAAGCATGAACACTGAACAAGAATAAGTGAGCAATTGTCCTACAGCTAAACGCATACCACGCTAATAGGGAATTTAAAAAAAATTGAAAGGAAGTATACTGAATGTCCATAAATATTCACTGTAACAATATGGACTTTGAATTATTACAATTACCCAGAGAATTGGGAATAGTGAAGTAGGAAAGTGCAAGATAGAATTGGAATACTCAAAAAAGAGCGGTACGAATCAAACTTTGTTCGAATGCTTGAAGCACTGAGTTGATGACTTGTTTTAAAAAGTGCAATTAAAGATCTGCTATTAAACTTAAAAAACCCGTGTTTTTTTCCACGCGATCTCCGGATTTTTGGATGAGTTCATGTCAGCTGAGGTACTCACAGCTTGATTAATGGTTTGTCAACCCCGTATCGCCAAGGGCAGGCAGTTGAAACTAGCGAAAGCACGGCAAAGCATGAAAGAACTCTAGTAAAAGAGCATATACCTATCATTATTCAAAGCATCCATTCATGTCTAGTTGATTCTATAGAAATCTGTAGAAGTTTACCATGTTCAAGGGCATGCCAAATTATTAGGTACACTATGACACTTTAGTACAAACATGACGAGGGGATATCATAGATTAAAGTGCTCCGGTTGGTTCATGGACCAGTTCACCAAGACCTGCTACCAAAAGTTCAAGTTTTTGTAAAGAGATACCTTAGCCCGACTTGGCTATTAAACTTTAAAACAAATAGTCGAGTGATTCTTGATCAACCAATCAGATCTAAGCGAAAGGCTGTAAAAACTTTCAAAGAAATAAAAAGAGAGAAGGAGGAATAATACCGAACTTATGAAGTCAAGGTGCCGACACATAATGACCACCTGAACACCAGACACGCAGAGCTAATTAATTCCGTCCATGCATACATACTATAAAACAAAAAAAAATGTATTTTCCTCTCCTACCTACCCCCCCCCATCCCCCTAGCAAATACAAGGGAGGACAAGTACCATGCCTAGAAGAGCACTCTATGTTTGCGAGAAGTCAGGAGAATTTCAAAAGCAATTCCTTAATTTTCATACATTTCCCCCCCCCCCAGAGCGAGAATTGTAATCAATGCTATATATATTACCCATGATATAAATTCATACTTAAGTTAACTGGAATTGTAATAATATTAATATTGGCTGTCCCACCCTGAGGTTTGGAGCGGCTCCGTCAACCAACCTGACAATAAAATAGGAACTTCTTGATAAGGGTTTGTAACCCTCAGTGCAAGTGAACTCTAACACTATTCAAGAGTTGAACTTTATAGAGCTGGAAGACCAGGGAAGGAACATCAAGACTCCAGTGGTCATTCCCTCTGCTAAATATAATAATATCATTATATAATTGACTAATTTGTAACTTTAAAGCGAAGACTATCCAAATAACTTTTGAAACAAATTCTCTAATTATAACAGCAAAAAAACCGTTTTCGCAACACTTTTGACACTATAAAAGACTGACTCGGCATAATTGCTTTACAGATTATTAATTGCAGGACCTATCTATGCCTCATTAAATGTCAATTTCAACAATCATGGTTATTAGAATCTATTTAGCCTCCAAGTTAAGTTAGTTAACATAAAATAATGTGACTTGATGACAAGGTCAGTGAAATGGCCTCCTATTCCGCTTAATAGGTAAACATTTTTTTATCAAAGGACTCATCATTAGCGCAGTAGACAAGGGTATTGAAAATGAAAAAAAATGACTCATTTAAAAGAGTACCACTCATCCTACCTTCAAATGCACGAGTTGATTTGAGCATAGATGTGTAGACATGCATACAAATATCCGATTGGAGACACTCCGGAAAGGAACGCTGAACAACACTCATATCAATGCCGTAAGTATAGGCCCAGGCGTGGATGAAGTAGTCCTCAAGGCGCTGTCGCAATGTTCCTGGAATCTGATGAAATCGAATGAACTCCTTCACTCGAAGCATCTGTGCGTGGTAGCGAGCCGTTCCACTGTAGAGCCGTTGAATGATTGCACTCACATTGCCAAATATACTCGCGTACATAAGAGCTGAAAAATGCAGACATTAAAGAGATATAAATATAGATTTCCAAGTATATATATGCGCGCCAATACATCAAGTAGCCCGATATATAATTTCAATTTGTGACAGTGCAAAATTGAGAGGGAAGTGTTAAGGTGATCCTAACTAGTTCATACAAGTACGGTGTGCTATTCAGACAAGCAATAAAAACCAAAATGGGTCAGCGCACTCATAGAGATATCAAGATAATAACATATTTCAAGATTAGGTAAAATTTTCTTAAAAGACTTGTAACTTGGCAAAGATACTTTCCATATTGGGAAAAAAATATGGTATATTAAGGCCCACTACAACTAGGCAAAAATTAATATCTTAAAAAGCTATTAACATTTGTTTTTCATGGGAAAGCATACGAGGAGCAAATGGAAGGCGATCGAGAAGTCGAGCAGAAAGCGAGAGTATCTGAAGCGCATTCACAGTTTTTTTTTAAATCGAGCTTTACATCAACTTCGAATTTCATAGTTTGTCACCTTCGCCCCCTCCCTCATAGCAAAGAAGAGTTGGACTCTCCGTTCACTCAAAAAGAGCGTGGAGATGAATGCGTAGAAAATATGAGAAACCACAATACCAAAGTGAAGTACATAGGAAATATGAAACCTAATACCCTTAATCTAGGTTAAGTGTATAAAGGTAGCGTATGTATCAAACAGGAATTAACTATATTACTACTAATATCGTTAAATTATGTAAAATATTCACATAGGAGAGAAAAAGAACACTGGAGATTTCTCCAATCGTGAATCTGAAATATCCTAATAGCACCTCCTAGATCCACAGCTTGACCCAATATCGTGACAGCCCCAACCATCCATTCACTATCGACCAGACTTCAAAGTGTGAGATTACAACGGGATTGTAAATTAAGGCAATGGAGGGGGAGGGGGGGGGGTTCCACTCAAATATGGTTTAGATATACTTTCTAGACGCTCCTTAGTGACTTCAAACTTGCTTCTGAAAAAGATGGTAACGAAGTGCCGTCCTGACGTCTAATTTAGTTTTAAAGAAGCTCTAACTGATCAAAGAAGACTTCATACAAAAAAATGTACAAATACTTGTTCTAAAATATGACTTTAACCTTGAGAAGATGACAAATGCCACACCAGGACCTTAAAGGTTCAATCGTGGTATAAAAATACAACAGAATATTCATCTATTTAAAGAGGCCTTGATGCTTGTGCGCCAATATATCTAACAATGAAGTAGCCAAATTTCTCGAGATTATTCAATGCATTCTGGAAGAAATTAAGACTTTTTATTTCCGCATTTAGGCATGTGCCCCCGATTTTAACCCCCCCCCCCCCCTATTCGTAGCTATAAAATAAGAATAAATGATTGTGCATCATCACTTCATGTAAACCCTCGGTAATCCAATAGTCATGAATTTAATCACCCCAGTGGTGAAGTGGTTGGCGTCTGATGTTACATTTAAATTAGGACATTTTACTTCCTAGAATTTATTGATCCGATTATTATTGCAAAACACTTTCTAAACAACCCCATATTGTACTTAAACAATTAACAATGCTCATTCAAACACAATGACTAGAACACCTGCTCATGCATACCTTGCCTATTCCTCAAGACAGTAAAAACTCACTCGCAAACACATAGAGCAACGACACAAGCTTAAAAAGAAAGAAGATTCCAAAATTCCGAAACGGTAAAGGAAAGTACCCATTTATCCCCCTAAATAACCCGAATAATTCCCATGGATTTATATTTGACCCCAACCGCAAAACGCCCCCCGCCCTCCAAACCAAGTGTGCGGGCAACCCAACTCCAAATGAAAGCAATAAAATAAAATTATTGCTACAAAAATGTCAAAGAGTGTGATGTACTTAAAAGAATAAATTAAGTTAATCTATGTACTGTGGTGAATAGCTTTCGAAAATTGGTCCCTAATGGCCTCTGCGTGATTGGGGAATTAAGAGAAGGCGAGTTATCCACAGAGGAGGGGAATCGACCTATATGCCCACCTCCCGCCCTTCCCCTCATAAATGGATTAAAAAGGGTAACTATAGTTAGCACTTAGCGTAAACGATAACTTCATGCAATTTATTTCCCCATAGCTACAATTTTGATCGTAGTATGTCAGATTTAAAGGTCAAACATTCAAATAAAATTTATTAATTACAAGGAGGAACAGCAAGAAACCAAAATACCTCGAGGCACAAATTAGGAGGATTTGGGACTTTACCAACACCTTACCGCATGCAAATGATTTCAGCACCTACTTTCAGTAAACCCACTACTACAGGGATTTGCAAATACCTCTTTTGAACATGCTCATCAAACTGAAATCTAAGTCATGATTAGCAATAAGAAACCCAGTATTCAAGATCAATAATAAAATGGTTCCACTTCCAAGTATAGCAACTTCAGGAGTGAAAGCATAGTGGGGTAGAGTACCTCCTCGTACAATGTAACAAACGTGCAAAGACTAACAGGAAACAGAAGTCTATCTCGGGTAAGAAAACCAGGAGTTAAGAATGAACAAATAAAAACTGGAATTGGGAGGAAAGGGAGATGTATATCAGTACCGAGAGAAAGAACAGCTCGGACAGTGAGGAGTAGGTGAAACGGAGAATGATAAGGTGATACACCGATTAGTCTTCCTAATGCCTTGACAAATAGGGTACAGGCATGAAACGGTATGGGGGCAATACAAGAGTGAGAGAGAGAGAGAGAGTAAAGCCTATAATAGGGTATAGGTGACACAGAACTGCTATGTGTAGCTCCCCTGATACACAACAATGAATTTTGAAGTCATCGCATATATGATCACACACACACACACACACACACACGAAAAACAACGATATTTAGTAATTTCGCAAAAGAATGCTGCGAATTAGATATACACACCACGCGGAAGCATTGTACGTGAGGCGTACACAGACCTATAATAAAGCAGTTGATTTCTCAAGAACACTCTTCCTTGAGCTAGGCTGTTCTCGATTCACCAATAATCTGAGGAGAGAAAAAAATACTTTAAAAAGAAATACTAGCTTTGCCTAGACGTGTTCTTGCAGTCTCTTCTTGAACGACATTGAAAGATATAAAACTTCACTTGTACTAAATTTTACACATTTTAAATTCGTCCAACACTTTTAAACTACATACCCTACAGCTAGGTTTCCCACTGATGGGGTTTGTGATGTGGCCTGAGTTAAGGTGAACAGGCCGTTCAAGTAATTTACAACACTGGGGTCGTGTGTCTATATGCAACCCACATGACCCCCTAATATATATTTTTTACCACCCCGAAACACAAATACCCAATATCTTATCCTCCATGTGCTCTATAAACAGGTTAATACCGTATAAAGGTACAGCTTAATCCATTTAGAAGCATAATTTAATGACTTACACGTACACTAGGACAAGCTACGTCGCAAGAAAACTTGGATTTAAATACAGCACCACTTGCCGCCTTAGATGAAGTGAGTGCAGTTAGATTGATTTAAAAAGAACTCTGTGCCCTACTAGAAATTCCAATAAAAATGCCAACAGAAACTTGGGGGATTGAACCCTAATGGATCCACTGAGATCCTCCATAGCACTTGCCTTGAATTGCAATCAAGATACGAAAAACTGAAGCCATTGCAAACGGCATCTACACCATTATGGCTTAAGACAGATAAAAAACAAGATTGGAGCAATATACAGAACAGGCATCATTGTCATTACAAAATAAAGTTTCATCAGTTTGTAAAAGAAAAGATTTCGATGAGTCGAATTCTACAAGGACACAGGATGCACGGAACGCATAGACGCCTTTCATCTTTACCTATCGTAGCAGCGCCCAGGTTAAGAGCGATTGCAGTATAGTAGGCGGGACATGGATGCGAAAGGACAACAACAAATGTTGATTTGCACAAGAAAATGAGGGAGAAATGCTCTATTTCTGAACCCGAACTTTGTCAGTTCTTAACTAAACCAAATGCATGCATCTAACAACTCAGAAGCCATGAGGAACGTGGACGAACAAACAATTTTTAATACGGGTTAAACGCAGGAATGGTGGAAAGCAAGTTTTTAATAAGAACGATTCCCGGATACCTTCAAACTTCTAAATTAAAGTTGGAGGTAATTTGAAAAAAGAGGGACTTCAGAACCCACACCATTTCCCAAACAATTTTGTAAATCAGCGAACTTACATCCTACAAGCATGACAACAATGGAGAAAATTTTCTCCGCATTCGTATTAGGGGAGACATTTCCGAAACCGATTGAGGTGAGACTTGAGAAGGTGAAGTAGAGAGCGGTGATGTACTTGGTCTGGAGTGTTGGCCCAGAGCATGGACTCTCATTATAAGGTTGCCGAGTTTGCTCTGCCAGTGTTGCCAACCAACCTGTTGCATGGTGCTCAGTGTTACCGATAGCGTACCTATGAAGAGCAGAGAATAACACCAATCAATCTCATTTTGCTCGACCTTTGATAAACAAGGAGAGAAATGCATTCGTAAATATCTGATTATTTAGAAACCAGATTTTACCCCATAACTAGAAATCATGCAATTGTCAGAGAATGTAATAATAATAATAATTCCAACCTTAAGGACACACCTCCATATATGTATAGACATTTAACAAACCTTCAAGGTCATCATGGAAGTGAAATTGCTCATGCTTAGAAAATGATCTGAAGCAAGGCGAGATAAAATGCCTTATTGATTGCAAATTGAAAGAGCATTATTGCGCACAAGTTCCATAAAAGGAAAATGAAAGTTACTGCAAACCATGCACAAAGAACAAGCACATGCAAAACAAGACAATAGAAACTGTACGTGCTCCTTAAAGCACTTTGGATTGATTCGAATTAGTAAAAACAAAATTATTTACAAGAGCAGTTAAATATACCAAGCTCGCCGTTTCGAAAAGAGTGTTTATTGATTACCCGGGCACTGGAGGCCTAGACTCAAGTCAAACTTTATAAGAATGATTTTAACAATTTAAATATGATTATTTAAAATTCGGGCAGGATAGTAGCAAGTAGCCCCCCCCCCCTCTCTTAAATAGTCGAACTATTACAAGGTTACTATCGAACTTTGCTAGTGCTTACCTTATTTGAGGCACCTATGGAATCGGGAACATCCACCCATTGTAGAAAGTATTTAAAAGGGAGAAAGCAAAAGAGTGGGGGAGGGGGGGAGGAGAGGCTTCAGAGAAAACAATTGGGGTCATCAGAAGAGTTTAAGGGGTTAATTAGAATGTTCAAATTTTACCTGATAGACAGAGTTCACTGTATTATGCCTCAATTATCAAAGTATTATTTTTTTGGAACGTACTGAACCCCCCCCCCCCCCCCCCCCACCAACACCGGATTTTTAAGCGTTAGTTCAGACCCTATTTGGCCAATCTATAAAACGGAGGTGAGGCAGCGAGCCTATGATTGACCACATGAAGTTAGAGATAGCGAAATGGATGCCTATTGATTGCCACAATGTGAGCAAATATGGCGGCAGAAGGGGGAATAGAATTTAACTTTTCCCCCAAGGTTGCAAGATGTGTTAATCCTTTGCTCAAAAGGAGCATTGGAGATGCTTTCCAATATAGTCGATCTTTTAAAGTAGTTAAGAGTGATCAGTTTGGACTAACTCCGATGCTTCAACAAAGCGGCAGAGCACAGTAGTAGTATGCGCATTATGAAGTGAAAATATTCATAACTGTTACTCCCACAATCCCTCAAGGATAACGAGAAAATGGAGATTAAAGAGCCATAGGGATATTTTTAAAATGCTTAACCTCCAAAGGCACCATCACTCTTAATTAGTGCGAAAACAGAAGATGATTGTTAGTTAAATAAAGGAAATGCAAAAATGGAAAAAGGCTAAGACATTTCAAAATATTTCTAATTACCTAGAGGCGGCTTTTGGGTAATAATTCAAGTAATGTTACCAAGCAAAGCATATTACAAAATTTTTGGAATCTAATTCAAGAAGTAGATGATGAGGCTTCCGAAATTAAAAGAAAATTTTAGGAAAATCAATTAGAATACAGCCTCCACACATAGAAAAGAGGCTATAAATGCCCTTAGGCAAGGAAAAAATAATATTAAATCAATTTAACTCCAGCTATAAAATGTCAGAAAAAGCCAGAACAAATAGATGCATAGGTATCGATGGGAGGACAAATGAATTTCTTTGGAAAAGGCAAGAGAAGTGAGAGGTGCGAAAAGAAAACAACCATGACGAGACAACTATTCCCCCCACCCTAGGAAGACACAGTAGCGTCCCCAGCCGACCTAATGGCAGGTAGGCAGCCAAGTGGCTTATTATAACCAGTAGTGTAGTGCTCGAATTAAACCCAGTGACAACAGAAAGAACACTCATGATGGTCCATTAGAAGATTATGCATCAAATCTCTCTCTCTCGTCAGGACGAAAAGTCCCACCCCACTTCAAAGATGTTGTTGGTTAACAGACCTGGTTAATAAGTTCCACAAAAAGCGGTAACAGAATATTTGCCTTCATTCAGACTAAACTGTTACCTCGTCATATTTGCATAAGTAGACACAACAGACTGATACCGATGTAATGAGCTTTGGTGGTAACAGGCGAAGGCCATATGAACGTATTGAACGTGCTTCAAACGCCAATAGCGCTTTCTGTCCCAAGTCTAGAACCGATGGAGTTTTGTTTTGGAATAGGACCACACGGTCCTAAGGGGATTAAAGGGTTAAGACTTGTACTCCTCCCAATAGGAAAATTTCCGTATACGCCAATCCTCCGATAATCGATTCCTCAAATTGCAGAATTGCATACGCAACCAAAAACGGGCATGTATGTGGCATGACGAATCTAACCTCCTATATGTTCAGACCACTCAACCGAAAATTAGATGCTCGGAGATTAATCATGCAAAGTTGAAGGAAATGACTCATGCTAAAATGGCAGTCATTTGCCTCCTAGGCTGGATACGCTCTACCTAGAAGCAATTTAAATGTGGTGACTTATGAAAGAACAAAAAAGGGCTCACTGAAAGTCAGTTAGCCTATTCTTTGTTAATAAAATATTAATTCGTAAATAGAGCAATTGAATATTAATCCTCTCCGATTGGCGTATAGTAATAGGGACTAACGTTGGCAGGAAGGA